TCTCCCCAAGGCCGCCAGACAACCTGTTAACTTCTGAACTTCTCGGACAGTACGAGGCGACTGCATGTCTATGACCGCCTGTACCTTCTCAGGGTTCCCCTCTATTCCTCTCTGATTGATAAGGAATCCGAGAAATTTCCCAGACTCAACTCCAAATACACATTTCTTGGGATTGAGCATGACATGGTGCCGCCTGAGTGTGGCGAAAGTTTCTCGGAGGTCCGTCAGATGATCTTTCTGAAGTTTAGTCTTGACAATCATATCATCAATATATGCCTCGACGTTTCTCCCAATCTGATCAAAGAACACTGTGTTTATCATTCGTTGGAAGGTAGCCGGGGCATTCTTAAGACCAAACGACATGACCGTGTAACAGTATAATCCATGATCAGTGACGAAGGTCGTCTTCTCCTGATCCTTCTTCCATAAAGGAATTTGATGGAAACCAGAATAAGCGTCCATAAAACTCATCAAGGCATGGCCGGCTGTTGAGTCGACCAGATTATCAATTTTAGGCAGAGGGTAACTGTCTTTGGGGCACGCCTTGTTTAAGTCTGTGTAGTCTACACACATTCGCCAGGTGCCATTCGGCTTTTTAACAAGCACCACATTTGCAACCCAATCTGGGAAGTAACATTGCCGAATGAACCCTGCATCAAGTAATTTTTTGACTTCGGCGGCTGCCGCCTGACCTCTTTCTTCACCATGGTTCCGCTTCTTTTGCCGTACCGGCTTCTTTTTCGGATCCACAGCGAGTTTATGTACTGCCAGATCAGGACTAATGCCTGGCATTTCATGGACTTCAAATGCAAAGATGTCCTTGTATTCTTTCAACAGGTTGTGAAAGTCATCACCAAGGTTTCTCAGAGCAGTCGTCCCAACTTTGACTGTTCGGTCAGGACGGGAGTCGTCTAATATCAGGTCCGCATGCTCACCAGCCGGCTGAGGGCGGAACTCATCCGGCCGGTCCTCTGCCAATGATTGCTATTTTCTTGCTTTTCTTGCGGACTCTGTCTGGGGCGCCTTTCTCTTTTTGTCGCCTGTTTCTTGAACAGGCACACTCTCCTTGACATTGTCAAGGTCTGTTTTTTCTCCACTTGACCCAGTGGCCATAACAGTGGGCTTGACATCCGAGAGATAGCACTCTCGGGCCATCCTCTGATCTCCCCTTAGGGAGCCGACTGTTCCATTATCCCTTTCAAACTTAAGCAGCATAAGTGACGGGATTATAACAGCCTTGGAATTATTCAGGGTTGGTCGACCCAGAATCATGTTGTAGGCCGAGAGTTCCTCTACCACTAGGAACCGGACTACCATGTGTCGTCCTTCCCCTTTTTTGCCCAGGCGAATGGGTAGATCTACTCGTCCCAGTGGGTGGACGACTCCTCCTCCAAACCCTATTAAAGGGTGGGAGGCCGGATGTATGCAGTCCGTCTGATATTTCAGTTTTGACAGACATTTGCTGCTGATGAGATCTGAGGAGCTCCCGGTATCTATGAGGATTCGGCCAACTCTCTGGTTGGCCACTTTACATTCAATAACGAGAGGGTCGTCATGCGGCCCCCTTATTCCTCCTAGATCCTCTTCAGTGATGACAATCTCAGGAAATGTATATTTAGACGGCCGTTCTTGGTGAACGGAATTTACATCTAACCGCCTTATATTATCTTTGTTGCCCCTAATAGTGGGGCCGCCTCCTGAGAAGCCGCCTGCAATGGTGTAGACGACTGCATCATCTGTATCGGAACTGTCGGCCTGTTGATTCTTTTTGGCCGACTGCTTTTTTGAGGAAGTGTTCCCCGTAGATTTCTTGACATAAGTGTCAAGATCACCTTGATCAGCCAAGCGGTCTAGGTACCGCATGAGACTGATGCAGTCATTGGTGTGATGACCAACGTCATCATGATAAGCACAGATTTTGTCTTGGTTCCGGTTGCTTGCAGAACCCTTCATGGGGAGCGGCTTCTCAATTGAGAGCCGTCCCTTTATTTCTTTTAGGATAAACTGGTTATCCTTGTTAAACACATACTTCGGGGAGTATGGTTTGAATTCTTTTTTCTTTTTCTGAGTCGGCTGTTTAGAGGAATCAGCCGCCCAGACCTCTTTTGTTTTCTCATCTTTGTTGGACGACTGTTTCTGTCGTCCCTCTCTTTTGTCGAACCTCTTCCCGTCCGACTGTTTCATCGTACACAGATCAGTCGCCTGTATATAGGCTTCTGCTTCAATCAAGGCCTCTTGAAGAGTCGCCACCCTTTTTCGAACTAAATCAAATTTGAAGGTAGACCCGTCTTTGAGACCTCTAAAAAAGTCAGTATAAGCTACCTCATCCGGTAACCCTTGAATCTGTATTCTCATCAGGTTGAACCGCCTGATGTAGGAACGAAGCCCCTCCTTCTCGCCCTGCTGAATTGTTCCCAAATCAAGGGTCGTTTTCTTCGCAGGGATGTTCATTGCGAAGTTGGAGGCAAATAAGTAAGCAAGCGTCCTGAAGCTGTTTACACAACCAGTCGGCAGGTTGCCGAACCATTGCTGTGCAATTCCCTTGAGAGTCGCTGGGAAACACTTGCACCAAGTGGGATCATCCAACCCTTGAAGGTACATCAGGTTGGTGAATGCCATCAGATGGTCTTCTGGGTTAGTAGTGCCGTCATAGGCGCCTACTAGAACATTTTTTACTTTGGCCGGCTGAGCGGCTTCAGTAATTTCCTTGGAGAAGGCCGACGGCTGTTCACCAAGTCTAAGCAGCCGTAGCTGCCAGTCCATAGGTTGGACGTTTTTTGCTGCAGGTCCACCAAATGGAGGTGGCTGCATAAAATACTGTTGTTGCGGCACAAATGGTAAGTTTGGTACCGCCTGGGCACTATGAAAGCCGGACTGACGGGAGGTGCCGCCTGACTGACTCTCATGGTACGACTGAGTATGCCTCATCGAGGCATTTCGCAAACTGTCCTGAAAATTTGAAGTAGAAGCCGACTCTGATAATCGGTCACTCTTCTTCTGCTCTAGCAGGAGCCGAGCATCTGTGAACGTTTGCTTTGACCCGTCCGCCTGAATATGACGAACCGGTTTCCTATTTCCCGTAGGATAACGGAGTTTTGTAAAATCAAGAGCAGGTGGCTCCCGCTTCTTGGATTTAGGATGGGGAGTCGCCTCTCGCCCTTGAACTGGCTTCCTCTTCAGTGAAGTGGAAGGTTTCTTGGCCGACTGCTCTTTGACTGAAGCAGGCGGTTTTTTGTTGATCAACTCTTGAATCTCTCCCTTGAAGTCCCTCATGAAGGTCATGAGTTCGTTCCTTGTGATGGGAGCAGACCCATCAGTCGGCTGTTGCCGAGCAAGCGGTGCGCCTGCTGGCTCGCTTCCTGTTTGAAGATGCTCCCGTTCCCTCCTTTCGGTATGGCGGGTACTTCGGGCCCTTAGGGTCCCGTCTGGAGCTGTATGAGTTTCAACTTCAAATTCACTTTCGGTATCATGGTCCGACTGAACTTGAGGGTCGTCTAGGGGACGCCTCTCTTCTGGAGTCGGTACAGACTTGGATGCCATCTCTGAAGTACTCTCCCCACAGACGGCGCCAAATGTTTCGGGGTTTTCTGATGTCCTGCGGGAGAGTTACAATTCCGAGACTGGAACCGGACGCCTGTACCTGCAAAATAACGGAGACTCCTGAGAGCTCCGCCTCCAACGGTCAAGTTAGTACCTGATTAAGGAGTAATTAATACAGAAATTAAAGTAATGAGATCTCTCTAGGTGAGAGTGCTTAGTGTTGGTACTCTGCGTCGTTAGCGAGATTAGCCGGTTATTGATGTTCCGTAATAACTCTGTTCTTCTCTGCTTGATTACTTTTTCCCTCCTTAATTAATGAGGATTAATTGAGTATTTATAGCCTTGAGAAGCGTGCCACTCTCTAGGTTTAAGGTAAACCTAGGGCTGATCGGGCCTCTAGACTGAATTGGGCCTTGATGGCCGGTTTTCCCATTTGGCATGGGTGGACATGTGGCGTGTCTAAATTGGTCCGTAGAGGACGTATCTGTGATTGACACGTGGCAGGCTCCTGTTGGCCTTCGTGAAGGACACGTGGCGGAACCTGGTTGGTCCACTTGTCAGACGGTGATTGGTGGATAAAAATCCCCTAATCAATTATATTGCAGCTTACTTTTATTTATATACATAAAATGCTCATCTTAGGGCATGTTTACTTCAGTTTAATTCAATTCAGTTCAACTCAACTCAGTTCAGTTCAATTCAACTCCAATCAGCTCCTAATTTCCTTCTCTCATAAAATACTCATTTCAGCTCAGCTCAGCTCAACTCAGCTCAGTTTAGTTCAGTTTAGTAAATGTGAACAGGCCCTTAGATAAGAAAATTTTAAAAACCCATCCTAGATAAGGAAATTTGAGAAAATTGCATCTACATAATGAGTATGGTAATATTTGACCCTTTACCTCACACTTAAAAGTCGGAGATAACCCAACCAACTACGCGATGGCTTCTACCTATCCACTTATCTAGTTATCTTTATACAGGCCTTAGAGAACTGTTAGAATAGGCGATCTTCTGCTAAGCGATGTATAAAGTATAGAGAATGGGTCGTTTAGGCGTTTTATATAATAACAAATAGAGAACGGTTGTTAGTCACAACCGTTCTCTTTTCCCTTCTTAAATTTGTACACTAAGGAAGGAATAAAGAACGGTTTAGGACACTTAATCGTTCTGTATTGCATTACAATAGAGAACGGTTAAGTTAGATAACAGTTCTTTAATGTTTTTTTTTTTAAATCCAACCATAATAATTCGAATTACTTTTGTACGTATTTTATATTGTATTATTCCTGTATTTTAATAATCTGTATTATTTTTGTATTTTATTTAGACCTGTATTTGTTGTATTCCTGTTTTGTATCTTGTACATTTATCCTGTAAGAAAAATTCCACATTTCCCATGTAAAATAAATCCATGATCCTGTATACGTGCAATATAAATTTTTGTATAATAAAATCAACAAAAATATTTCCAGATATGACGAAAGCCATCAGAATATACTTCATATATATAATTTAAAACATCGAACCACAATTAAATTGAATCAATCATACAAAATTTGTACTATACAAACAAATACGTGAGTTAAATATCAAAACACCTTTCTAGTTAATGTTGATTGAAAAAAAAAAAATTATGCTTAGATATACCAATACCATATTGATCTACAATTCACATAAATCGTTGTCGTTGTCGTCATTTGGTTGATGGTATCCGGTAACATATGAAATCCACCTTTTCCTAAGCTCGTTGCTCATTTGTTGAGAATATGTAGGAGGAACTTGCTTAAAATACTACAAAACAATGTAAAATACATACATATTAGTTAATAATATACAATAAATTCATCTAATTAAATATAAATAAGCATATCCTTTTTTTTTTATCTAAGTTCATAAGAACAGATACTATCCAAAAAGGCTGCTCATAATACACATAACAGCCATGTGCATAATAGTTTCTGTCAGGCATGCCTCAAAATTTTTTTAGCAATCTCACAATAGAGATACCAGTTTTATACCAAAAACATTGCTTCCTCCACTTGTGGGACTGAAGTTTGTCAAGCCAACTTTCATGGATAAAATTTTGCCTTAAGTGGAACTTTTAAAACTTCTTCTATCACCCCTTCTGCCATTTATATTGTTCTTTTGTTTAACTGTCTGAGATTTGTCTACTGTAAAAATAAATATGAGCCGATATCAGTGAATTAAACTACAAGAACATCATTGAGACAAGGAATAAGCTTGCAAAAAAACTTGAATCTCAATCCTCATATGCCATAAATAAATCAAAATAGTACAGACATCATATTCATGCTAACTATTTTCCACACCAGACATAGTCAAGGAAAGAACCATGATTGTTGACTGTTTATCAGATGACTTCACAACAATGATAATTGATAATTGCTATCTTGCAGCACAACACACCAAGCTTTAGAAAAAAAAGAAGAAAAGAAAAGAAAAAAAAAAAAAAGGAAAACAACACAGATGACTGCCTTAACCTACATCACCTCAAGAACCTTTTGAAGACATTATGTCTGAAAGTTGCAAATCATTTCTATTGCTTGCAATTGTCTTATCTCCAACCTAGCTGCATACGAATCATCTATATTTTACTCATTTCAACATTAGACCCCTTAAACTACCTATAAAAGATCACCCATTTCAACATTAGTGCTTCCTTGTGTTCTGTACACAGGCCTTAGACAGTTGTTTTTAAAACAATGGATTAAGCACATTTGCGCAATGCAAGTCATTAATCTGTTCAACGGGCCTTACAACTCATTTTTGCCAGCTCATGAGCAACCCGATTGCCATCACGTTTCACAAAAGAAAAGGAACAGACACGACACCTAGCAGCTAAATTCAGGATATTATTCACTACCAAACCAAACTAAGTAGGCTGCACATCTCTTTTATTCAAGGCATTGCACAGCTTCAAGCAGTCAGTATCTAAACACAGGCTGAAAAAACCCAGGTCCAAGGCAATCCCCAAGGCAAAAATCACCCAGAAATTCAACCCAAAAACCCCAGAAAATAAACACCAAAACCCCAAAAATTCTACCCAAAAACCCCCAGAAATTCGACCAAAAAAAATTTCCACAAATTCAACAACCAACCACAGGAATTCGAGCATTAATAAAACCCCCAATTCGAGCATTAATAATCCCCCAATTTCGAGCAAAACAACAAAATAAAACCCTAAGAAACCCCAGGAATTCGAGCATTAATTCGAGCAAATTCGATTATGGGAAAATTCAAGCAAATTCGAGCAAAAAATTGAGCAAATTCGATCATTAATTCGAGAAATTTCGAGCAGAAAAATTGAATCAAAACCCCAGGAATTCGTTAAGTAAATTCGACAAAATTAAGGGTAATTTGATTGAACTTACTGCAATAATTCGACTTAAATATTTACATACAAACAATCGATGAATTTATCCCAAAAACAAGAACTTTGAAGGTTTTCTCAATCACCTAAAATTCGAATTCAACGAATTTACTTCTATTTTCTCCATAATTCGAATGATTCATGCAATTATAGATTGACAATTATCAGAATCCAATTACTCTACCACAATAAAAATTCAAACCAAAAAAAAAAAAAATCGAGCCTACCTCAATTTACTGGTGGCTCAGCAGACATGTGCGGTATTGCAGACGTGGAACGGCGGTGGAGCGCCGGTGCAGTAAGCGGCTGATGAAAGATTTGCTATGGAGGTTTGATGAAGGTTTAATGAAGGTTTCACTTTTTTTTTACAGATGAATGAGAAAGAGAAAGTGATAATCGCTTCAATTTTCCCTTTAATATTTTGGGAAAAAAAATTTTACGGAAATTTGGTTTTTTTTTTTTTGAAAACATGAATAAATTATTATTGTGTATGTACGTATATAATTTCCTCCTAATTATAAATAATAATTAATTAATATAATACAAAACGGTTGTCAAGATGAACGTTCTATATCATCTATAATAAATAATTATTATTTTTAATTATTTGAGTAAATTGAAATACAGCACGGTTAACTATGCTAACCCTTCTATATGTAGTAACATATAGAACGCCTCATATATTAAAACGATCTATATTCTTCTGGAGAACGCCTACCTTTAATAACCGTTCTATATTTTGCGATCTCTAATCTAGTTTTTGGTGTAGTATACGTATACATTAACTAACATTCTTTCATGCATGTAGGAAGTCTATACTGTCTTATATACAAAATTACAACACAACGTACTTTGACATACATTACTGTGCAAAACTTGTGTCAGCTCTTTAATGAGAGCTTTAAAGAAACAACCTCGAATATGTTGTTGTACGCATGAAGTAGACATTATGATTTCACATTCTCTTACCCTCTGTAATACGGTATATTCCGGCAAAAATTATACACCCAAACATTATTTATTTATTTTTGGATAAAGGTTGTGTCTCACGTGATTTGCTTGAATGCTTTTATGTTCCAAATTGAAGGACCACTATATAAAATATAGTATGTGCATGATTTAATATAATGCACAATTAAATTGCTAGCTACCTCCCAGCAATTAATTATTAGCTTGTTTTATTTGATCAAATATAGTCAATTTGGCCTTTACGTGGAAAGAAACATTATGAGGTTAAATTTATTATTAATAGAATATTGTAGCACTAAAGTACAAAAGAGGTAAAGAGTGGAGTATGTCTTAAGCATGGTACCATTATCCTATCATTTTCAAATTTTTATTTGCGTTTGACAACAACATCAAAAAAAATTATAATAATTACAAAAAAAAAAATTTGATGTGGGATCTTATATACATCCAAAAAGAAAAAAAATATAAGATTAGTAACATCTATATTTTACAAATTTACAAGATAAAACTTCTTCTTCTTGAAAGATTCATTTGTTTATGGATGAAATTAATATCATATTCCAACAATGTCAATGTGAGTAATTACATGGAGTATTAGCCAATAAAATAAATCGTGCACATATGATACATATAAACTATAATAAAAGATTTTGATTTGGTAAGACGGATTGATCTTATGTGTTAATTTGTTTACAACCATCTTAATTAGCTAGGGTTATATGTATTTTTAAAGACTAATTTAATTTGTTATAAGTTGTATTGTTATGTATCTCACCTATCTATTTAAATAAAAAAATAAAAAAATAAAAAAAAATAAAAAAAAATAAAAAAGTTGATCATCACAATCAAAGTAATTAATATCAATTTTGGATAATTTTGTTTTAAAATTTGCAGGAAGATTTAATCAAATAAAACCTTGAAACTATATTCCATTTGGCCTTTATATGTTACATTTTAGGTCTAGTACACTCCCATCATTGCCAGCTAAAACATTACACTTAGAGTTCTTAAATAGATCAATAGATAAAAATAATGACCAAATCATAAAATACTAGTGCTGTCAAATTTTAAACCGAAACCGTTTAATTGCCCGAAACCGACCGACCCAAATGAGAACCGAACCGATTAAAAACCGATTTTTTTGAAACCGAAAACCGACCCGAACCGTATTTTAGTAAACCCGAAACCGAATCGACCCGAATAATGTTAAACTGTATAAGAACCGAACCCGTTTACAAACCGAACCGAATATAAACCGAACTGAAAGAAAACCGAACCGTATCTAACCCGAAACCGGTTCCAACCCGAAACCGTTTAAACTGGCAAAAAAACCGCTTACACCGAATCGTTAGCAAACTGCTACCCGTTTGCACCGAACCATTTAAAAACCGAACTGGTTATAAACCGAACCGTTTATGAACCAAATCGCTTCTAAATCGAACCGTTTACAAACTTTTTTATATAATTAAATGGATTTTTTTTTGACGGGGATATAATTAAATGGATTAAATATTAGAAATCTTAGAATATTTTTTTAAAAATAGCAAGGCAAATCATTCATTAAGGTCTTAAGGATAATCAGTGTTCACAAACAAGAGCAAAACAAGCAGGCTCAGGCCCTGCCTCAAACTATTAGCAACACTACTGCCTCTAGTCATGTATACATTTGAGGTGATGAAACCAAATGAACAAAAAGCTTGTAATATTAAGTACCAAGGCTTGGCTCAAGGCGTAATAAATAAAATTAATTCACAAAGACTATTAAGCATATGATTACATTGATTCTGTGAGTAATAATGAAATAAAGATGGGAGTATGCTAGTGACATGAATATACTATTAGGCTATGTTTTAATTCAGATTCAACTATAATTTAGTAAACTTGAAATGGAACCGATATGAATAACGTTAAAGTGGTTAAACAATCGAAGAACCGAACCAGTTATAAACTGAACCGAAAAAAAACCGAACAATATAAAACTGAACCGAAAAAACAACTGAACCAGTTATAAACTGAACCAAAAAATAACCGAACTGTTTCTAACCCGATCGTTTCCAACCCGAAACTGTTTGAACCGGGATAAAAACCGTTTACACCGCACCGTTAACAAACCGCAACCCGTCTGCACCGAACCGTTTACTACCCGGACTGTTTACAACTCGAACCGAATTAAAACCGCTTAAGAATAAACCGAAACCGAATCGAACCGATAACTATTTAAACCGAACCAAAACCGACCCGTGAAACAATTAAACCGATTCCAAACCGACCCGATTAAATACTGAACCGATTTCAAACCGAACCGAAACCGAACTCTCAAAGTGCTATAAAATACCCTTCAAAATTAAACAGTATTATTGTTAATAATCATGTAAACAACTCCAATAAGTATTTAAAAATTGCAAGTCACTTTAAACTTTAGCATAGATAGTAGGATACTTGTACAGTACAATATTAGGCTTCAAGTTACATAGTTGATGCATGGGGACGTTCGTCAATTAACATTAATTAGGTAATCAATACATAGAAAAATGATAATTTCATAATTTGTGCAATTATAATCATTGTTGACATTACTTCTCTATAATAACTTTGAGGAATAAGATACTCATACCTTGAAATTCTAATTTATAAACACAAGTTGTAGATACATACCAATATTAAAAACTTTGATTTCTTGTAGGTTGTGCTTCATAATTAAATGGTTTTTTCTTTGCTTCATAATTAGACATTGATGCATGTATGTATAGAGTATGTAATTATCATTTTGATTTTGATCTGGTTGGTAATCTAAATTCTAAAATCAACATACATTATGGAAATAAGTGATTAGCTTAGCTTTATCTATGGAAGGGAGAAATTGTACGAAGTATGTGAAAAGGATACAAGTCAAACTCTTGCATGCGTATAGAGATAGAGAAAATTGTTAAAAATATATTTAATGTTATTTTTTTGTATCTCTAAAGACTACATATAACATTACCCGTTGTTAGTTGAATAACCAATAAATAGTATTTGGGAAAGTAAATTTTTTATTTTTTTTCCTTTCAATCTACATCTCGCCAAATAAACAAACGAGTGCACATGCACATAATACATAAACCCTACATACGTAACTAACGTTACAATAAGACTTATTATCATTAATTTTGAGATTGTGGGATCAGATCAAATTCATTTAATATTTTTAGCTTCTTATTTTCAAGAGATTTAGGTTATCCTTTTCAGCTTCTGAGCACAGTATAGTAAAGTTGAGCAGATTTTATCATAGTAGGTGTTAACAGGTTATTAAAACTCAGCAGAGTGAGCATGCATGACATATTTTAATAGAGTAGAGCGAGTAGAGATCACAACAGCTCAAAAAGAACAGGGTCTTACCCCTAAGTAAGTTGAGTAAATTCTTGTATGATCTTATAACATACTCACTACTTCATATAGACTTCATATAGGACACTTTTATGTACCATACTAATTAAAAACTTTTTTTTTTTTAATATAATAATACTCTTTGTTCAATGATGATTGGATGGTGTGAAACCCAACACACATTGTTCAATGTTTCTATTAGTTAATGTGGTTTGTCGGATTAAAGAATAGAATTTGGTAAAATAGGTTGAAGGACAAGAAGCACCAAACTTAATAATAAGACAAGTTTTGGTTTTAGATGCCCAAGTCAGAAATAATACACCTAGACTTGGTAAGATTAAGGTAAATGGAACATATAGGTAATTGTAAAAAAGGGTTCATCAGTTTAGTTACCAACGACGTCAGAAATAAAACTTGAATAAGAAAATTAGTAATATTTGACGCCGTATATCAAACGTTGTTTTGTCTACTTATATGTGGGTTTTCATGAGAAGTCAATGTGTTGGAGATTCTAGGTGTACACACCACAGTCAATGGTAATGCATTTGGTCTTTTTCATTTTAATAAATTAACTCTCCTAATTTTATTTTTATTATTAGTTAACTAATACTCCGTATTATTAATGAAATTATGAAAGTATTTAACCCAAAGTTTAGATATGCATTGAAATCCATTATAGTACATTTATAAGTGTCCTACATCAGAGAAAGAGGAGATATTTCTATTTTATTATATAGAAGAGTTAGTTCTAATATCACCTACTAGTTTTAGCACAAAACACCTTTTGGCCTTATTTGTGGACCAAAACTGTCCTCTTCCTTGTTTGAATTGCCTAGATTCATTTCATATTATCTTAAAATTTAACAATACAAGTAGTTTGTTATAAGAAATCGTCGTAATAAGGTCTACCAAAGAAAGCATGACCTACACCATATACTTCGTATATGTTATTATGCTATAGTAAGTCACATACTAATATAACTAGATTAGGCTCGTGCGATGCACGATTTTTAACATTATTTTACAATTTTAATAATATTTTTTAGCTTATTTGTGTGTAATATGTATGTAGTACAAACAATTTAAGCAAATTAAATCTAATAAATTAAAAAATTAATAATAAATAGTGAAAACCCCAATCATATAATCTGTATAAAAAAT